TACTCCCCATTCATTAGAATTTTTGTTTGTAGAGCAACTATCAACACAATATACATTTTCTAATCTCGCACCCCTTATAATTTGAAGTCATAAAGGTACATAGGCGTGAACCACACTAGCATTCAAGAATTTTCTTTGCATTATTACATTCTCAATTTCTCACCAAATAAATGAATTGTTTTCAAACTCAGTTTTCGACTTTCTAGCTGAAAATCCTAGTTCCAAGAAGAGAAAATATTTATCTATCTTAATTTGTATAGCATTCAGAGTTATAAAAGAAATTTTTTTATTTCAGCTACTAAAATTACTGAAATCCAGCCAACCTGTTTCTCAACCCAAGGGTTAACGCAGTTTCGTGCCACTTTTAACAGAAGAAACAAACATCAACGGGATAGAAAGAAAACCATATAAAGAACTTTAACGTGTTATTAAAGACTCTGACCAATAGTGTGCATCAAACTGTAACAATTAAATAAATATTTTGTCAGCTGCTCCAAAATTCTACAAACGTCTGCTCCAATAACTATTCTTTTTTGTTTCTTAATTTTTAGTTATTTGTTTCATTGATTAAAGGGGAATTTTGACTTCACAAACATTTAAACAGTAACTTTGAGAACAATTAAAACGATCTTAATTTGTTTCTCCAACCCGTCTCATTTAACTTAAGACTTAAAATGCCAACCTAATTGATTAATTCTAACTCACGTTAGAAACCATGTCTTAATTATACCAAGAAACTACTCCTATAAATATTTTCCAACATCTACCCACCACCACTACCAAATTACAGATACAAGATTACCAATATTTACATATATTAAATAATTTTTGGATACATATAAAAATATATAATATTCTCTTTATTTTTATTTTTTAAATTAAATTGATCATCTTGGCATCAATGGCCACATCGAAAGGTTGGATGATTATCTTTTGTCTGGGAGCGCTAATTCTGATGTCATCCAATTTCTTGATCACTGCCGAAGAAATCAGTAACGGTGCCATTGGAAGGAATAACACTCCGTGCGACAAAAAGTTGCATCCCCAGGGATGCAAGTCTCAACCAGCAAATTCGCCGTATCACAGAGGTTGTGAGGTTCCCGAACGCTGCCGTGGGAATCCACCACCAATACCAAAATCAAAGATATTGTGAGAAAGATGAACTTTGTGTGGTGGACCTCACATGTATCATGTATGTGGCGGTGATCCAATGGTTATGCAAACAAGTATATGGGCATGTGAAAATCTTAAATGATATCATATGAATAAAACAATAAACTTCTTGCTCTCATGTTATAAGATTACTTTGGCATGTTGTGTTTATATGATTTGGAAAGAAAAGGAACTCTAAATGATACTCAAATTGGTAATTGGACGAGACTACTCACCTTTGAGATTAGAGGTGGCAATTGGGTGGATTTGAACGAATTTTAAATGAGTTGGGCATGAATGAATCAGTAACACAATATCAAACCATTAATAACAGGTTATAAACGGATAAGGGTTCAAATGGACGGATCAAAACGGGTTAACCCGTTCCAACTCATCCTTTTTCTTTTCTTTTCTTTTTTACTTTTGCAAATTTTCTACCTTCCTACCATCCACGGCTAAAAAAAACAATAATAATAATTTATTTTTACATTAATTTTTTTTATTTCAAAAAAAAAATATCATTTTTCTTTTGAAAAAAATTATTATACAACTCAGCGTAACTAGGTGTTATGATTGGTGGGCTCAAACCCACCCCGTAAAAATTTTAAAAAAAAAAATTACTATAGGTAATTTTAGCCCAACAAAAAATAAAAAAATTATTACTAGTATTAACTCACCTAAAAAAAATTTTAACCCACCCCATTAACAATTCCTGAATCCGCCAATTTAATCAACAATATTAATTTGATATATATATATATATATATATATATATATCCATTCTCTATATATAAGTCCAATCCGGTTATATATCTATATATAAGTCCAATGCAAGCAGGTATTAAGTTGCAGGCCCAAGAAAGAAAAAAACAAAAAGGCAGCAGGTTCGGAAAAAATAAGAATAATAAAGAGTTGCTGTGCAAAACAAACATGGTGATGTATCAAGTGCACAGTTTTGCGTACAGGGGAAAGGAACTCTAAAGAGAAGGAAAGGTCAAGCAAAGAAAAGAATTATATTTTTATACATCGTCGCCTGTCTTATTTATTTTTTTTATAAATTTATATATGTAGGAAGTTGAAGAGTAAGGTAAAGAGAGTGTTATTGCTGAAAGAAAACAAATTAAACAATGATAGTTTTGTTTGAGCAGGATTAAGCTGGGTACTCACTTTTAATCTATCATTAACTCTTGAATTATACGAGTATTCACTTTTTATCCATTACTGACACACTCATTTAAATTTGGGTGTCCAAATAATTTAATTTAAATGGGCGGTCTAATGAGTTTGGACTTAAATTGACGCCTTATTTGAGATTTACAACGCGAGTCCTACCATAATTTTACAATCTTTTGTATATAAATAGAGGCTTAGACCTCCAATAAAGGGATCAAGCAATTCTACGTTTCGAGATATATTGTTCTTGTTTATCTTACTATTAATTGAGTGAGTTGTTTTATTTTTCTTAATCATTATTGGTTGAGCGAAATTTTGCACCTACACTTTGGCGCCGTATGTGGGAAACGTATAGAAATAGATCCCCACCAAAATTACAATACTTCAAATTAAAATCTCCAAGTCTAGCAACGTGACTTGGAATTAAATTTCTAAGTCAGCAACATGACGAAGTCGAAGGAGAGTATGGACTTGAATCCAACCCTTTTCAGATGTCTGAAGCCCGTGTTCCACACACGGCCAGATCTTTCTTTGCACAACAAGCGCAAGCGTCCAAAAGGATATTCAAACAACTCAACACGCCGTGTTCCTCACAAAGCCGAAGAATCTACCAAAGGATGTAGATCCGGCCAACACGTTTCAACCACAACCCAACACCCACATGGGTCTCTAATCAGATAAGTTTTCCAGGCCAATCTTTATTAAAAATTAAATACGTATTATATATATATATATATATATATATATATATATATATATATATATCATTATATAGTAAATAAAGTCTAATTTGGCATGAGCCCTTGCCAACTCTTAACTTCCTTGATCTTTATTCTTTTCTCTAAATAAAGGAGGATGTTGGTATAAACATAAATTGATTTTAATTTGATTGAGTGTCATAATTCAATTAGTTCTTCATTCTTACTTTCCCAATATAGAACGTAAAAATTAATAAAAAAATTAATAAAAAATAAATGTCTAGGGAATAATTCTAATGAAGCTAGCAAGATAACTGTTCATTCATAAATAATAGTGAATGAGTACGATTCTTATTATGCCATATATTGGAATCAGCACAAGAAGTTGCAGTAGTTGCACTGCGACTACTCCCCCTACTAATTTATTTCCGAAAGAGTGGATAAATTCTGTTTTGCTATAAACATAAATGAGGCAATTTATTGTATGCACGAATGCATTCTTTTAGACTTGTCTTTTCGTGTCAGTTACGGAGGTACATTTAAATTTACAAATCACGGTTTCTGGATTTAATACCCACACTGCACTTATCAACGGATAGTACCAGTAGACTAATTTTATCCACTTAAAGGTCCTTGTAAAAAAAAAAAAAAAAAAAAAAAAAAAACACTAATGATTCATTCATTAATTTCAAAATCTTGATAATTATTTTAAGTTATTCATATGATGGCTTATTAGAATGTGCCAGAAAGATTAGGAAACCAACGGGTCGATGAACTTCCTGACTCACAAAAGAAGGCTCTGGATGAGCTCAAACACCTCATCCAAGAAGCCCTCAACAAGCACGAATTCAGTGTGCCGCTGCCATCTAAGGAAGAGGAGAAGCCCGCTGAGGCCGCTCCACCGATGGAAGAGGAAAAATCCGCAGCTGCTTCTATAGAAGAAGAACCAAAATCCGAAGAGAAAACAGAGGCCCCTGCTGAATCAAAGTTGGCGCAGCCTCCACCGCTGCTTGCAGTGGAAGCTTCGAAGATCGCCGAAGCAGTAGAAAAAACCGTCTAACGGGGAGAGGAGGTGTCCATCTTTGGAATTCCGCTTCTGGCAAACAAGAGAAGCGATGTGATTTTACTGAAATTCTTCAGAGGCAGCAGGATCTTTCATCATAGATCCAGACAAAGTACTTGCTAAGAAGAAGTGGATATGGCCTAGCCAAAAGTGGGTCACAACTGGTTTAACTCTGGTGAACTATCACTTTCTAAGTCCAGGGCATGAGCACCGAGAAGCTCCCCTTCACTTTCCCGGCCCCAAAGTGGACTGTAATGTGAGCATGTTAAGGTATGCCAAGCTCATGTCAACCCATGACTGTCACAGAGCTCGTCCAAGGTGTCATCAACAGTGAGACTCGGGTCCTCTCCGTCTCCATGACCATGGAAGAGATCTTCCACGGCACCAAATCATTCAAGCAAGAGGTTTTTGATAAAGTTCAGCTCGAGTTCAGCCGGAGTTCACCATCCTCACGGCCGAAACAGAATCCATTCGAGTCGGCTGCCATCAAGCCTAGCCATAACGGTTACACATCGCCGTCCTTCTCACCGGCCGAGTTCAACCGAGTTGCCGTCGCTGCACCGCTATCAGACCCATGCTCGCCGTCGCTCTCATCTGATCTGTCACATCTGAGCCGTGCACAGTTTGACGCAACCACTTTGCCTCTCTACTACTCAAAAATTGATCGAATATCACTTGAGCTCCATTAGCAAAATCACCAAATTGAGCTTTCCAAATTACCAATACATTTGGATTTTCCATTGAATAACCCAATTCAAATCCCACAACACCAAATTCTGAAAGAGACTCTGGAACCCAAATCGTTCCCTATAAAACAGAGCCTATGCAGAGCAGTCTCTTTGTTTTCTTTTCATTTTCTCTCCCTCTAAACATACAGTAGTAACAATGTCTCTTCAAGAAGATCGAATAAGAAGATGGAGTTTGATCCTATGAATCCACTCGAAACTAGTGAAGAATATTACGACGACTACGTAACGCTCTTCCTAGATCAACCAGACTACATGCCAGCTATGGGTTACTCCAAAAGATTCAACACCACAGAAAGAAAACAAGTATATGATAACATCATCAGTAATTCGCGTAAAATTGATGATCCATTCATGTCCTTCATCGCCATGAATCACTTTGATCAATACATTTCAAGGCAACCGCCATTGAACTTGAAAGATCTTGACATAGACCTATCTGCTAGAAGCTGCTTCAAACTTGCTGACAAGATGTTAAGCTCTGGCACTTCCACAAATGCACTTCGATCCAAGAACAAAAATGTGAAGTATACAGAAGATCAAATTATGGGTGTGCTGGAAGGGAAAACGCGCCTAATAACAGTTTTATACTTCCTGGAACTTTAACTTGAATAATGCACAAATGAATCTTGATCTCAAAGTCGCAGCCGTTCGGATCATAATGATTTCCCAAAGGGAAATTAAGATTTCAAAGGACTCGGCATCAATGGTTGCAGCAGCAGCAGCTCTTGTGGTTGCTTCCAAGGAGATGTTTCTGGCAAGGTATGAGGAGTTCAAGGAGGCTGTTGCAAATTCTCCATTTGTTAACAAGGAGGAAAAACATTCTACATCGCAGAGTATTAGTGTGTAACCAGTAGTGATGAGCAGATGACCGTCACCGCCGGCCAAACCCGCCGGTGCACCGAGAGTTCAAAGCTGCTTCCTCATGACCGGACAGGAGCTCATCCCAGCTGAACCACTCGTCTGCACTCAGCACTGCTGCCTCCATTATCGCTGGCCATCTCCATCCTCGCCGAGCCGCCGTCCACCACATCCGAGCTTCTCCTTGCTCGCCTCCTCAGTTGTTTGCTGCCTTGTATCAATTTATATATATATATATCTATACATATATAGCCTCTGTTCCGGATGCAAAATCGAACACACCCATAAGTCCATTCCAAATGACGGTGTTGATTCCAAGCCCAGGTGATGAGCGCACAACCAAGCTTTCTTCGGCATAGACTTCACCAAGTTGTCGTTGGAAACGAACTTGACACTTCAGTTCCTCCCGTTCCAGACCTTGTCAACTAGATCTCTAGACCGCATGGCAAATCCCGGCCTGATGCTTTGATTGTTATCCACTTTTTCAAAAGAAAATAGCTCCAAAGTCGTCGTTGGAGACGAACTTGACATTTTAATGGAGACTTGAGGGCACTGCCCGAGCATTATGGATCCAAGGCCGTCCTAAGAGGAGTTGGTATTCGGGACAAATATCAAATACTTGGAAATTGACAGGAAATGTGGTGGGACCTATTTTCATTGTCAGAGAAAGTGATTCGCATTGCAAGCAAGTGCATTCCCCACCATCTTTTTCAGTTGTTTAGCTGTGAAATTGATTGGGATGTGAGCCTCCTTTAGTACTTCCAAGAAACAATTAAGGAGTCTGTTTGAGGTGAGGAGCAGGACGAGTAGAGAGGTTTGGTTCGGCATCTTGCTGAAGGACTCATTTTGGAGCATTTAAAGCTTAAATATGTTCATTGGAGTGCATGTGGAACAAACGACAAACGTTAGCTTTGTCTTCCACGTAAGTACTTCAAAATTTAATCTACTACTTGAAGTTCTAAACATATTACATACATCAAAGAATTCCAATTGAACTTTAAATGTTTTTAGAGTTAGCATATGTCTCGGACCTCAAGAGTCCATAGATACCAAAAAAAAAAAAAAAAATTAAAAAAAAATGTGGAGGCAAGCCTAACAACAAAAAGTCTCGGACTTCAAGAGTCCGTAGGTACCTAAGTGTTCGGTACAAATCAACAATTCTTCTCAGGATCACAGCCGAGGAATTACATGCTTCAGACCATAAGTATTCGATACAAATCAACAATTCCTCTCAGGCTCACAGCCGAGGAATTACATGCTTCGGACCCTAAGTGTCCGGTACAAATATTTGCTGTGAAATAAAAATCTTCGGATCTCAAGAATCCGAAGGTATCAAAAAAAAAATTCCTATAAGGCACAACAAGCGGCAAAGGGGAATAAAATTCATCTTCGGACCTCAAGCGTCTGCAGATTTCAAAATTTCTCTAAGGCACAACGAGCTACGAAGAGGAATAAAATTGATCTTCGGACCTCCAGCGTCTGCAGATTTCAAAATTCCTCTAACGCATAACGAGCTGCAAAGAGGAATAAAATTTTATGAAAATTACCTCAATTACGTCGAAGGTTAAATTTTCATGTAAACTCCTCCAAAGCACAAAGAGGGCCGATGCTTATAATTACATGAAAATTATCTACATCGCCGCTATCAAACGAGACATATTTTTCTTTCCTTCATGGGGGCAATACCTTCCATAATGGGGGCAATATAAGCAGCCCTAAAAAGATATTAAGAAAAGAAAACATATTCTCTCTTTGTTAAGCCCAACTATCTGGCCTAAATACAATTCCTCTCAGGCTCATGGCCGAGGAACTTCCTACCTCGGACCTCAAGAGTCCGATACATTACAGTTCCTCTTAGGCTTATAGCCGAGGAACTTACTACATCGGACCTCAAGAGTCCGATACATTACAATTCCAAACTATCTAGCCTAAATACAATTCCTCTCAAGCTCATGGCTGAGGAACTTACTACCTCGGACCTCAAGAGTCCGATACCTTACAGTTCCTCTCAAGCTCATAGCCGAGGAACTTACTACCTCGGACCTCAAGAGTCCGATACCTTACAGTTCCTCTCAGGCTCATGGCCGAGGAACTTACTACCTCGGACCTCACGAGTCCGATACCTTACAGTTCCTCTCAGGCTAATGGCCGAGGAACTTACTACCTCGGACCTCAAGAGTCCGATACTTTACAGTTCCTCTCAGGCTCATGGCCGAGGAACTTACTACCTCGGACCTCAAGAGTCCGATACCTTACAGTTCCTCTCAGGCTCATGGCCGAGGAACTTACTACCTCGGACCTCAAGAGTCCGATACCTTACAGTTCCTCTCAGGCTCATGGCCGAGGAACTTACTACCTCGGACCTCAAGAGTCCGGTACATTACAGTTCCTCTCAGGCTTATAGCCGAGGAACTGCATACCTCAGACTTTAAGAGTCCGGTACATTACAGTTCCTCTCAGGCTCATAGCCGAGGAACTACATACCTCGGACCTCCAGAGTCCGGTACAATACAGTTTCCCTCAAACTTATCGCCGAGGAACTACATGCCTCGGCTCTCCAGAGTTCGTTACATTACAGTTCCTCTAAGGCTCAACGCCGAGGAATAATTCGCTTCGGACCCTAAGTGTCCGGTTCAACTCGTTTCCTCTAAGGCTCAGCGCCGAGGAACTGTACATTTCGGACCACAAAAAATATAAGGTCCTCAAACAAGTGTATTTTCTTGAGAAACAGGAGGACATTACTATGCAACAAAGCGTATACAATGTAAGGGCAATCACAAATTCCCATAACAGAGCAGAGTCAAAAGCGTCCACCACAGTTGGACTTGAAGTTGGAGGAATCGAAGGGTTGGGAGCTGCAGGAACTGATGAAGTTGGAGCTAGATGATCATCCTGATGAGACTTCACCATTTCAGCAAAAAGCACTTCAGCTTCTTGGGCTTGTGGACCCTCAGGATAAGGGAAGGACACTTCCATGTCAGCATTAAAGGCCTCCGGATCGTTCAACTTGTCTCCCGAACCTTGTACAAAGCCAAACCGAAAGGCCTTAGTCCTGGACAAGCGCACCAAGATGCAATCTTTGCATTCATGGCTGCATACGAGACCTTCTTTTAAGAATTGCCAAGATCTTTCTCCAACTTCTTAATGGAGAGAAGACAAAAAGGAAGGGAGAATGACGAACCTCAATGGCTCGAACAGGGGCAGATGGAGGCAGTTATTCAAACTCCATATTACATTCCCCGAGCAACTGCTAGTGCTACAGAGGGGTCGGTAATCATAGAATCACCAGAGTGAAGAACTGATTTATCAGCTCTAGATATAAATTGCTTCCAAGGTGCTCTAGTCTCTGTTATGACAAATGCTCTAACCTAGTGATGTGACAAAGTGAAGAACGTAAGGAATGAAATGAACGCAGTAAGAGCGGAAGTAACTCTTATGGAAACCCTTTGGTCAGAATATCAGTAATCACGCCTCAAATCACTTCTTACGAAATTGGTAATCGTACAGCTTCAATTCCCTTCTTATTAGGAGTAGTACTCCAATTAAAAAAGGAATTGGGGGCTAAGTGTGGAGGGAAAAAATCCCCTCCAATGAGAATAATTCACGTCATCATAAATATAAACATATCCTTGATAAGTTTATAAAGCCCACCTCGCTCAAACCCAAATTGAGTTTGATACTAGTCCAAGATCACTGTTCACAAGCCCAATACTATTGTTATATGACCCTTAGCCCTGTTGAAGCCCGAATTAAGAGATTATCAGCCCAACATATTAATATTTAACATCCGGTCCGTTACTCAAGCCCAGCCGGATCAAAGTATGTTCAGCCCAGTTACTCAAGAATGCACAAGTCCTACCAGTTGAAGGATTTACCGTAGAAGGAAAATTCTGAGATAGGAAGTTCTGTACAAGGCAAGTTCTATGTATGAAAAATTAGACAATGGAAAGAACTCTATTAGTAAAGAATGTTTATATAGAAAGAATTGGAGGGCAAGTAACGCGAGTCCTACCATAATTTTACAATCTTTTGTATATAAATAGAGGCTTAGACCTCTAATAAAGGGATCAAGCAATTCTACGCTTCGAGATATATTGTTCTTGTTTATCTTACTATTGATTGAGTGAGTTGTTTTATTTTTCTTAATCATTATTGGTTGAGCGAAATTTTGCACCTACAGACCCATTTTACCAAATGTAACAACGGACAGCAATATGAGATTAAATTCTTACATATGTCCAAACAGTGCCTTCAAACTAGGAGTACATATGAAACGTTCAAACAGTCAGAGGTCAAAAAATTATCAACCGATTCAAACCGAACCATGATTTTTTTATTTTTCACTTAAAGTGTGAGATATATATATATATATATATATATTTGTGTACTTTTTTAATCAAATAATATTTTTTGTTTTAATTCAACAAGTTGGATAGCCCGACAATTTGAACAGGCCAGTAAATATATATAGCGTTAGTTACACCGCTTGGAAATGTCCACTAAATATAATATTGTATAAGATGAAAATAAATTTATAAACAAAATTAAAATATTATTCAATTTTTATTAAATTATATTAATTTTTATAATTTTAATTTTTCAGTTTATTATCTATACTTTTATATATATATATAGATGTATGTATATTGATTAGTATATTTTCATGTGTGTCTCACTGAATTTCTGGCTTTAGATAAAGTGAAATAGAAACATATATAGTCGAGAAAAAGGTTTATTGTTGTTGT